AACAGACACAAATACCACAAATTTTACTAAAGACAGCACAACAGCATTCTTATCTTGCTATGCCATCAGGAAAAACCATCCCTTGAAAAGTTTTTGAAATTTAATAACCTTAAGACGTTTTCATGTCAGAATGAATTCCAAAAATGAGCACTCCCCAGTCCTATTTTACTCCCAATAATCTCACCTAACTATGAAAATATTATTGCCGTCAAGTATCATAAATATTGGGTACTAACAGCAGAATGCATGAGAATTGAGTTGTGGCAAAGATTCTTCATTAGCATATATTGATCTTAGAAGGCTCACCAGACCCAAAGCACAGAGAATTGTCAAGACTAAATCCGTTGTGTGGCCAACCATTGTGCACTGCCCCAGGCTGGCAATCATTAAATATTGGGGTTTCAACTCCAAATTGCAAACAGCATAAACTTAAACGCTATGCAAGCTATTTAAAGTCAGGCCACACAAAATATCAATGAGCTAAGTTTATGTGGGAACCTCACCCCAGGTCCTTTTCTCAACGTTTAGTTCATTTCCCACTGAATTTTCTTTGTGGGAATGGGGGTGGGGGCAGGAAAACCCAAGCAGTAACGTTGGCCAGCAGGTGTGATTTTGCATATTTCTTATTCAGGGACCCCACTCTGTGGTTTCAACTCCAAAGGGGTGTTTTGTCTAGCTGTCTGGCTGCAACACGGTCATCTCACAAACAATTTGTCACACTGTAAGAACTGCATATTTGGGGGACAGAGCACATACCACAAGGTAAAATGTGGTAGTCTTATCAGTTAGAATCTTTGGCCGCAGGTAATTTCTTAGACCAAATATCATGAACCCATCAGAATCCCATGTCCATTGAGTACTGAGTGAAAACCTTTCCTGGTCAGAGTCTGCCAGGAGGACTCACTGGTTAGAAACCACAGAATAAAAATGGCTCAAGGAGCTTTCATACAGTACCTTTTGGATGGCTCTTTGGAGAGAATAACGTTTGAAAAAAAAAGACTTTACTACCAGATGCAGGTTTTGGCAGAGATAACCTTAATAATGTTAAGATATCTTAAAAATATCTCCATTTCATTTTTTTTCCCCCACTCAACATTTGTTCTATCCAGCTGTGCTGGTGAAACATCTTTATGGAAAAGGGCACAATTTAAAGGTTAATGGAGTTAGCCCATTGAACAAAACGATGCAAACAATGCCTTGTCAACTAAGCATGCCTCACAAAAGGGAGTCCACTCAATCAGGAGGGGGCATTGGAGAGCTTCTTTTTTTAAGAAAATCACACTACTAGCATTCTGCTCATTTTATCCACTGGAGAAAACTACTTAGGAGCTTTTGAGTCAAACAGGAGAGAGAAGTTCAGGCAAAAATATGCGCAGCCAACATGGAGATACCACTAAGGACTGAGAAGGGACAAGGCAACCAGCGAGGGGCCAGAAAGGGAAGAAGAGAAGTGGAGGGGCAAGCTAAGAGACTTTAGAAATCATCAAGAAGAAATCCAGAGAATTACAAAAGGGAAAGATGGAAGAAAAACAGCCTGGGCCCCTCGGGGAGTTCTCTTTCCTAAGTCATAAAACCCTCTGGTTTTCCCTTGTCTGGAATCACTGTCCACAGTGCTAAAAACAGTGTGTCTTTATTTTCAGTTTTGGGGGAAAAAAATGAAAACAATCAGCATAGTTTTATTACAAAGGGGAGAAATTTTTTCTTGCAGCAAATTAAGATATTGGGGAAAGAGACAAATGCTAAGGGGTGGGGAACCATCAGTGACAACTGCAACTCAAGTACTCCTCCTTGTTTTGTCATGGTCACCTGGACACCAGCTCCAGGCTCCCAGAGGAGTGGTGAACAATATGTTGGCTTCAGAGTTCATTCAATTGAACAAATATGTATTGAATATTTACAACAGCCTTCCTGCAGATTTAGAGAGCTATGTGGCACAGGCAGATTTTCTAAGGCAGCACCAGCACTTTGATCTTCTGGGGGCTCTGACATCTGTTCTTGTCATCTGCACATTCATATGTTCATAGCGAAGCCAAGCAAGACCAAGGAACAGCATTCTGAGGCCCCAGTGAATTGTGTGACGTGACCAAATCAATCGGAGTCGAGATTTATGCTTACTGAGATAATAGCATCTCACTAACAGATGCCAAGAGGTGATGGACTCATTCGGATTATAAAATATTCTACGTGTTACTAAATAGAAAATATGGTTTTAGAAATGAGCCCTAAATCCCCCAGACTTACCAGGCCTCGCATGCAGTATCATGGCCCAAATTATGAAGGCTTTTAGTCCCCATGTGGGATGGTAGCAACCACATCCTCTAAGGCCCCCCTGAATTAACGAAGTGTTCCAGGGTGGTTGCATCTCGTGGGCGCTCAGAGCAAGCCCATCTTTCCTCTCCAGCTTGTCTCAAGCCACTGTGGGGGCTCCAGCACCCATTTGAGAGCCTTGTCTTGCAGCACCTGGCTTCCCTTTGGAGGGGCCTCTCTGAGACTTCAGAATATGCCAGCACTGTTCCACGGATCAGGGAAGTCAACATGGCCCACATTCCAGTCTTGCATCCTGGTTCCAGAAGCCACTTGTGTGATGCCAGGCCTGCAAGTCCTTCACAGACACAGTTCCTGCAGCTTGGGTCCTGAGCTCTTTTATGTGGGGCATGTGCTTCCCAGCTTTCCAGCCTGCCCATCCATTCTTTCATTACCCTCTGGCCCCCACAGGCCATCCATTTGGGGGCCCTCCCTCAACCCAGCAGAATTGCAAGCAACGTAGCATCTTGTGGAGAAAAGAAACAGTTTGGGGAGGTGGGTGGAGCTTTCCACCCCTCTCTGGGAAGTCACCTTTTCCTGCGGCCACTCCCATGCTCCATACTTGCAGGGCTAACAGTTCGCTTTGGGTAGACATTCACAGGGCTAAGAATTCATGTTGCACATCTAGATGGGAACAGGGTGTGGGAGCTGGGAGAACACAGCTCTATGTCTGCCTGAGTCACTCACTGGCTGGTTCACTTGAAGCAGTCACCTCACCTCTCTGGGCTATGTCAGTAGGGTCAGGACCTCACCCAGCAGACAGCATAGGCTGCTTTGAGCTCTAAATGTTCTAAGGGTATGATGTTGTTATACAAAATGGAATCCATTTCCTGCCTTTTGATGAAAAAGCTTTACACATGTTAAAAAATGAATTATTATAGTCTTTAAATGTATGCAAAACCCCAAGAAAAATGAAAACATATTTCCACACAAAATTTGTACATCAATGCATATAGCAGGATTCTTCATAATAGCCCCCAGAAAGCCAGAACAAATCAAATGTGCATCGACTGATGAATTGGTTAACAAAATGTGGTATATCTATGAATATAATGTTCTTTGACAATAAAAATGAATGAAGTACTGATACACTCTGCAACATGGACGAACCTTGAAACAGTATGCTAAGTGAAAGAAGACCCCCTCACACACACACACACACACACACACACACACAAAGCCAGACACAAAAAGCTCCATAGTGTAGTGTATGAATCTAGACCATAGGAGTGAAATTGCTTGATCTCATGATTAACTTTTTCAGAAGCTGCCTAACTGTTTTCCAAAGCTGCTGTACCATTTTATATTCCCATCAGCAATATATGCGGGTTCCATTTTCCACACCTATGCCAACACTTGTTATTTTCTGTTTTAAATTTTTTTATTATAGCGTCTTAGTGGGTGCAAAGTGGTATTTAATGCAGCTTTGATTTGTATTTCCTTAGCAGCTTATGATGTAGAAAACATTTTCCAGGGTTTATTGGCCAATGGTATATTAAGAAACACCTTTTCACAACCTTTACCCAGTTTTGAATTGGGTTATTTGTCTCTTTATTGTTAAGTTGTAAACATCCTTTGTATATTTTAGATACTAGACCCTTATCAGATATAGGTCTTGCAAAAACTTTCTCCTGTTCTATAGGAACAAATACATTCTGTAATGTCATTTGACAAACAGAAATTCTGGTTTAGTGAAGCCAATTTACTTTTTTATTTTTGTGTTTTTGGTGTCACATGTGAGAAACCATTGTCAAATCCAAAGTCTCAGAGAGTCATAACTATATTTTCTTCTAAGAGTTTATACTTTTAGCTTTCAGATTTAAGTCTTTATTCTATTTTAATTTTAGTATGTGGTATGAAGTAAGGTTCCAGATCCATTTGTTTGCGTGTAGATTTGCCAGTTGTACTGGCATCATTTGTTAAAAACAAACAAACAAACATCTTATGCTATTGAATCATCTTAAAATAACTGTCCATATATCTGGATCTATTTCTGGACTCTCATCTCCATCCCATTGGCCTATGTGTCTGTGTCTATCCTCCGTCAGTACTACACTGCCTTGATTACTTTCTAGTAAGTTCTCAAATTAGAAACTATAAGTCTCCAAGTTTGTTCTTCTTTCTTAGGATTGTTTTGGCTATTCTGGGCTTAAAATGTTTAATATATCTTCCATTCTTTTAGAGAAATTGTGTTCTCTCTGAGATGTCTCATAAAGAAAGCCAATAATTATGTCATAAGGCCGTTACTTGTATACTCTCATTTCTCTGACTTAGCTGTACACTTGACCTCAAAGTGTAAAATCCTCCGATCAAAATCTCAGTCTCTCTCAGTCTCTCTCTCTCTCTCCCCACCCCCCCACAGACGTACATTTCTCTATTTGTAAAACCCAGAACCCATGTTCACATAAATATGCTAAAAGCACCTATGTTCCTTTCTGCCATGCCACGCTTCCTGAGCAAATCTTGGGCTGACTCCAAAAAGGCTGGAGCCCCTTAGAGGCTTGTACTTCTCATAAAGAACAAGCTTAGGCCTTTGGCCAATTCTTTCCATTTGGTGCTCTTATAGAAGAAGTTTAACTCTTTGTAGAGAATGAAAATAAATAACACCCAGCCATTATTAAGTGAAAGCAAAAAGAAAATCGGGTACAGAAAAATTTAAGTCAATGGTGATTTTATTTCTGAAAATAAATTGGTTGTTTCCTTTTTAAAATTTGAAACCAAACAGAAATAAAGTATTAAACAATGTATCTTTCACAGATAAAGTGTCTTAGTGTCACAGACTCTGAAAACAGTCATGTTTTACTTATGTGACTTGCAGACACTGAAAAAACAGAAATGTATGCATCTCTCTGTAAATCGATCCTGCAGTCAATACTTCAGTCTTTCTTTGTTTCTGATAAATATACTTCACTAAACTAAATATAACAAAGGTTTTTAAGAATGTTACAGAAATACAAAATGCAGCATGAAGGACCTGGCACTAGAGAGAGGTAAGTGAAGTTCTCGGGAAATTACAAGTTGCACAGCTACTTTGGGGAGCAGAGATTTGGTTGCATGGACCTTTTCTGCTTTAACTGGTTTTCCTACAATGAGCCTGAAGGTCCTTGCAGCCACAAAGAGCAATGCACAAGCCCAGACAAAGCAGCTACTTCCACGCTCTCCAAATCCTGCCTTCCTTGATTTCAGGGCTACCCTCTGATAAAGGAAGAACTGGACCTGGAGGCAAGGCCTGAGTTTCCAGAGATGCTGATTTTGGGCGGCTGTGGGTCCAGTGTCCTTTTCTCCTCTGTAACAGAAACAGCCCTCAGAAATTCTGAGATGGAAATGACCTCAGGTGAGGAACTTCAATCTGGAGATGTGTTTCTTTTAAGCCAAAAACACTGAGTTACCATGAGCCTATAAATTCATAGCTACTTTGCATGAGATAAAAAGCAGCATAAATTTAATTTATAAATATATTCTTCAAGTTCCAAGCCAAGTACAAATAGGCTTAGGCTAATATGAGATGAGGAATTTAATATTATTACCTAACCCCTGCAAGTGAAACAAAAATAGGCACAGATGTTATGGTTTCAACCCCACTTGTAAGGTTAGCACTAATTTAGAGGGGAAAAGTTATATTTTTAGATTCTGTTTCATGGGATATCCAATCATATGGCAAACCTTGGGATCAGATTTGATGACAAATAATGCCAACCATGAGAGCAGCAGGTGGTGTGATGCTAAACATGTTGTGGGTGTGACTCATTACCTAAAATATTCTGGAACAGCAGAGAGGTCACAGTACCATATACCATGTCACCAACCATGCACTACTTCATAGGAGGCATGGAAGTCCTGGAGTTTGCTGCTCTGTCTACATTTAAACTTTTCTGTCTGAATTTCTTTGCCCCTTTCTTGGAACCAGCTTTGATCACATCGTGATGTTTCACGCTTTTCTCTTCCTGAGCTTCAGCCCGAGCATCACCATGAAATCCGTCCTCAGGAGTTTGCCTTTCTTCATCCTTTTGAAAATCACACCCTTGAAGGAAGGTCAGAGGAGCGTGACCCCCTGACAAACAGTCTGCTTGGGAATGACCTTAAACTGTGGATGCCAATCACTACAGGGCCCAAAGGAGCCAATTATTCTTCATCTCCACAGGAACCCATCAGCCTGAAATGGACTAACACCCTTGGAAGGTTTTATGTTAAATATAAACGAAGAACATCCTAACCACTACCACCACAGAGAAGGTTCTAGAACCTCTCTCCCAAATACTGAGACACAGTGGTGGGAATTATGGGGTTTAGATATAGGCCTGTTAAAACAGAAGAATTTTAAGGTTAATAAGCAAACAATGGTTAGGGTATTTTAAAATTAAAATTTTTTCCAAAAACACATGGAAGGTCCACAGCTACCCTGCCACATGGGGTTGCTGTCCATGTGAAATGTGGCCAGTGTGATTGAGAAAATGAATTTGAAATTTTATTTAACATCAATTAATTTAAATTAAAAATAGAATCATTATATCTATTTTTGTGTTATATTATTTTAATTTTTAAAAAAAGGAGGTTGAGGATGCGGCTCAGTGTGAAGGTCCTGGGTCCAATCCCCAGTACTGAGGGTGGAGGGAGCTCAGGCGCCTGGCGGGATGGATCAGTGACTGTCAGCAGGTCCACCCCCAGTCCCCCTTGTGCTGGCCGCACACCATATGTCTGTGGATTTACTGTAATGTCAAGGCCCCTTCCGGTCTCTGTTAGTGTAGCAGCTAAGAACTTGGCCTCTGAAGGCAAAGTCTCAAGGTTCAAGCTGCAGCTTCACTTCCTGTTAGCTATGCAGTGTGCAATCTGGGACAAGCTGCTGAACTTTTGAAGCCACCGTTTTCCCACCTGTTTAGAAAAGAGAGGAGGGGGAGAGAGTGGAAGTCTCCCTTGCAGGCTGCTTGTGAGGATGAGCAGAGACACAGAGGCAGGGGAGTTATCACTAGGCACAGACAGTAGAAACAGGACGATGTTTTTTGACACTACAACAAAACCATGGTCTTTTCCAACCTTCCTCCCCCTCCTGCTGCCCCACCCCATGCTGGGGATGTTTCTGGAACCCCTCACATTTCATTTTGTGAATGCCTGTGTCTCCTCAGTAGTTCCTCTTTGCTAGCTCCCGGACGTCCACTTCTCCGTGGGTCAACAAGATGGACAAAAAAGCACCACGGTGGAGTAGGGAGTGGATTCTAAGGTGAAGTCTGCCAATAAATTGTAATGTGATCTTTTTCTAAGCCACAGGTTTCTTAGATGTTTTTGGTCAGCATGTTCAATGGAACTTGTACTAGTGGTCATTTTGAGTTCAGAGGGACAGTGTAGAGACAAAATAAGACAGCAAATTCAAAAGCACATCAAAATGGCTAGGTGCTAACACAACAGATACCTCTGTTGCTGATTCATTAAATAATTCCTTTGAAGCTTCCATTCACTCGGTGGACTGATTAAGTGCCTGACTGAGGCAGTTACTTTTGCACTGGTGGAGAGGCCAGAGAGGGGAAAATACGAAAATGAGGAAGATGCATCCCCTTCCTTCTAGGAGAGAGAGAAGCACAAATAGCATAAGTCTTGGCCAAACACATAAACACCACCGGAAACAAATGCAGGATTCCTACAGGAAGGGTTCTTCTCACAGTGGAGATCACTGCCGCTCACAACCAGCATACACCACGTTCTGGGGCAGGTGGAGGAGGTGGGTGGATTGGGAATAGCAAGCTCCATGCTTGGCAATCACTATTCGGATGTGAATCCATTCCGAAATTAGAGGTGGTTTTGCAGCTGTTTGGAGAGTATTATGTCTGAAAAGTCTAATCCCGAGAAAAAACAACCCATCTGTCAAAAAAGAGATGAAACAAACAGCCGATCCCATCACAGACTCTGCCTGGGTGATTTTCACTGGTCCTGCTCCAGGCTGGGCTTAAACACGCTCCTGTGAGGCAGGGCCAGAGACAGTCTGGGGGACAAAGGAAGAAAGATCGCTTGAGCTGAGCCAGCAGCTGTGTCATGGGCCTGAGCTGCCCCTGCTAAAGTTTGCTGGTCCTCACCAGCATCCGGAGTCCCCCAGGCTCACCCTGGGCTCCGCAGAGGACTCATCTCGCTGATTGGGAGCTGACTCTATGCTCTGACATTCAGGTCAGGCCCAGTTGTGCCTTCAATTCTTCCCTGAGCTTGCCTTTGCTTAGTTTCAACTTTTAATTTCTGCCTAGTCTCAGAAGCACACTCCCGAGCAGTTGCACTGGAGAATATTTACTGGTCCTCTGCATCCTTTGTCGGCTGAGCTCTGACAGGGACTGTCATAAATGTCAACTGGGGGAATAACATGGAATACTACAGTCTCCGCCACAGTTCCTTCACAGTTACTTTGAGGACACACCCTTTTGTTCCAGCACAATGATTGGCTTTTCTAGCCCTTTGGGTTTGTGTGATTCTCATCCTCATTCTCACTGACATTGTCCTTTATAATGAACTCCCCTCTTTGTGGGGAGAAAAGGGCTAGAAAATAATCTTTTAAAGCCCAGGGCAGCTAACTATAGTGGTGCACGCTTGTGCTCAGCTTGCATGCTGAGGCAAGAAGATCATAAGTTTGAGCCCAGCCAGGGCAGTTTTGCAATTTAGTGAGACACTGTATCAATTTTTGAAATAAAAAAATAAAGACCCTGGGTTCAATTCCCAGTACCCCCTGCCCACACACACACACAGGATAAGGTCAAAGGGCAGGAACCTTTCAAAACCCACTTCGAGGGCCAGGGATTTAGCTCAGTGACACAGCACCTGCCTTGTAGGCATAAGGTCCTGAGTTTGATCCCCAGTACCGAAAAAAAAAAAAAACACTTTGAAAGAGATCCTGTACCCTCCACAACAGTTCAGGATTGGGACTGGGTCAGCAGCCCCCTCACATAACACAGACTCCAATGCTGAGAGACTTTCCAAGGCTTCCTCTGGTGCCTTCCTTCCAATATTACATGTCTTTCCCTAACTGTAGTCACTGGTGGACAGATAGGTTTTCACAGATGCATTAAATCCATATTTCATAGTTCTGGAGTTGCCAACAGTTGGTTGGTTGGAGTTTAATATATTATCAGTAAGCATCAATTCCTTCTCCACCGAGGCTGAGAGTCATCTGAGATACCTGGTTCTCATCATGGGAATTCCAAGAGAGCACTATCACAATAAGGCTATGTCTATACAAATAATTTTTGGAATTCCTCTTTGGGAAGAATTACCAAAAGCCTGTGGCACTGATTTTTAAAATAGCTCATGGTAGTAAATCTTCATCCATTGCTAATGATTTCAATTTGGGGGAAGAATAATATCATTCTTGTAGGTGACTAGCCAGAGGTGTTTTATGCAATGGTCTCTAGAGAAACAGAATCGAGAGGATAAATAGATATGGAAGAGGTGATTTATTGTAAGGACCAGTTCACGTGATTATGGAGGTCAAGGAGCTCTATGATACACCATCTGCAAGCTGGAAAATCGGGAATACTACTGGTGCAATCCAGTTGAAGTCCAAAGGCCCAAGAACCACCTAAGCAAATGGGGTAATTTCTAGTCTGAAGCCAGAAGGCCCTTGGGATAAGTCCCAGAGTCCCAAAGTATGGAAATCAGAGCTCTGATATCCAAAGGCAGGAGAATATAGATATCTCAGTTCAAGAAAAAGAGAGAACATTCATCCTTCCTCCACAATTTTGTTCTATGTGGGCCCTCAACAGATTGGATGGCATCATCGCCACACCAGTGGGGTCTTCTTTTCTGTCTGTTGTTTCCAATGCTGATCCTTTCCAGAGGGATCCTCACAGACACCCAGAAATACTGGTTTACCAGCTACCTGGTCATTTTTAAACTCAACCAAGTTGGTTCAGCGGCGGCGGCTGAGCTCAGGTGTAACCTCGGGCCTGCCGCCGCCCCCGGGGCCCTGGGCTATGGAGCTGGAGGTGCCGGACGAGGCGGAGAGCGCCGCGCAGAGGCGGGGGGCCGTGGGTGGCGGCAGGTCTGGCTCAGAAGAAGGCAGCCCTGGCAGAGGCCCCGTCGATGACTGGACAGCCTGGCCCCGGCCGTGGAAAGAAGCTGGGGCACCGAGGCGTGGACGCAGCTGGCGAGACCACCTACAAGAAGACCACATCCTCCACTCTTGAGGGAGCCATCCAGCTGGGCATCGGCTACACCGTGGACAACCTGAGCTCCAAGCCTGAGCGAGATGTCCTCATGCAAGACTTCTATGTGGTGGAGAGCATCTTCTTCCCCAGTGAAGACAGCAACCTCACCCCT